AGAAGTTAGGCGAAAAAAAAGAAATAAATGAAAAGTGACAGAAATGAACCTTAGAAATGAAGTATTTGGAGAACCGATCAAACTGAAAGTAACATTTAATATTACAGAAGCGAACAGTACATTCTTATTTAATAATAAGTCGTAATTTAAAGAATAATTAAATAAATACAGAAAGTAAACCGGGCTGTAGGAAAGCAGAGACAAGATCAAACAATGTACAGACAGAAGATAGAAATATGGTAACCATGGAAATTACATTTCGTAACATAGGTGTAATGGTAGTAAAATGTAACACGTAGTAAATGTAATAGGTGTAAATGTTTTCAGATTAATACTTTATTTTCAATTGAATCTGAAGTGTCTGAAAATTGTTCTCTATACCGATGTGTGTTTTAATGGATGAGCTAGAAATATTAGTTCCTTATGGCAAAACGTAATCCAGTTGTATGTAAGTACTTTTAGAGTCATTTGAAGTTTCACCTCCACTCCTGCGAAGCAAATTGGATTGCATTTTGCAGTTCGAAACTAAAATTACTAGCTTAGTTTAGAAACAACGTATGGACCATAGTTTCCTCACGCACATGAATGTTTTTACGGATGAGCCAGGAATTGCATTTGCTATAATCATAAAATGAAGTCCAATTTTGCTTCCTCACTACAACGCTTGCCGCGCTTCTCTAAGATTTACCTAAAATGAAGCCCTTATTAGTTCGCGGTAATATCGCGTCGTCAGCAAATGTATTCACAGCGTTCCAGGTGAAGGAAGAAGGGGGTGGGTGTGTGTTTTACGAGCACGAATTTCAATAATCCACGACCCCTCATCATTTAACCCGGGAAGAAACCCAGATTCGACATGCGAGACCCCCTTCGACGTCTCCACATTCATCAACCCCGAAATTTGCAACCTTCGAAGATCCTCATCCCACACTGCCGCGCTAAGAAAAAACGCCTTACGAACATCCGAATGTTGCCAAATTCACCTGGTTAAAACTTGTATTCCCCAGAAAAAATATGTCCTATTTTCCTTGAAATTTTCAGATAGTTTAGGTATAGTTGGGAAGAAAATTTTCCGAAAATTTGAAGAAAAATATACAAAATTTTTCGAGTTCATTCATGTATTATTGAAGGACATATAGCAACGCCTGAAGGCTTATACGGCGTTTTTCCTCAGCGTGGGGGCATACGCGGGCGGCGCACAGTGGATCGAGTCAATGGGAGAGGTCGAACATGACATTTTTAGCTAAAACTGCAAATCTTGGTGTTTATTACGTCACATTTTCAATTATAAGGGGTGTTTCAAGAAGAAAATTTCACGAGAAAACCAATGGAACCACTTTTGGAACATTTGAGTTTAGTATGAACGGAGTTAGAGGAATTTAAAGTTTCCAAATTCTGTCCGACCTCTTCTATCGACTCGATCCACCGTGCGGCGAAGAAACGGCGCGATGATTAAGTGCGCTCGCCGGTACGCGTCGCCGGCTCCCATTGTCGCTCCTCTGACGTAACAACATATCTCGATTCCCACGTGAGCCCCGCTCTCTGTAAGATATTATGTTCGCCAGGGTTCAAGTAGAAATAGAGATACGTTTTTATGTAAAAGGAGCGACGCATTGTCCCGCGGATCCGGGGGCGAATCAATCATCCCTCGTCAAAGATCCGAAAGTTGCCCCGAATTTCGATCTGCGCGAGTGATTAAGGCGAGTCATTAATTACTCCGGATATTAATATGGCGCGCCCTCGTAATGAAGCTTATCTCGAGTGCGTCGCGAACCCGCAGCATGAATGTCGAACTAATTTCGAAAGAATACGGAGGACGTGGGAGTGTGAGGAGGGGGTTGCGGAGTTCGTATGAGCTCGGTGCCGTGGTTTAAGAAGGGTTGCGCGTGGCTCCTTGCAGCAAAATCTGGAGCCTTCAAATCATGCACAGGGTGTCTACAAGTCCAGAAACTCCGGAAACTCCAGAAATAGTACTGATTCCTTAAGGTCGGTCTGGAAGGACTGAAAAAGTAAGGAAATTCCGTAGGAAGATCCGGTATTTTTTTCGTTTTTCGTTATCTGTATCGCAATTTGAGCGAGAAATTCAAATGTTTGAAAATTGTATGAATTCGTCAATTTTAGGTACTGAAAAAGTACTGAATTTTTCTATGGAGGAAGTACTGAATTTCTTGGAAATGTACTGAAAAAGCACAGTATAAGAACTGTTTTTTGGCCAGTTTGTTGTAGTAGACACCCTGATGTAGCAGTGTTCCTATTCCATGACCGTCCAAAATTCTGGAATTCGGAACTTTTTTGTTTCAATTTCTCCCCTTCCATGACCGTCAAAAGTTCCGTGAATTTTTTGATGTTTTTGAAAGTTCCGAGAAGGTTCTGAAAAATGCGAAAGATGAGGATCCTTTCGGGGATGTCAAAAGTTCCCGGCAAAATTCGAGGAAATCTCGAAAGTCCCGAAGTTTTGAACCAGTTCCGAAAAATGGGAGCACTGTCGTGTAGCTAGGCGATGCCAGGATGTTTACTGTCAGTGGAAACAGGAAAATGTCAGGAAATTTGATGTCATCAGAAAAATTGGTTATAGATTAGAAAATTCCGAGTGGTCAAACATTGTTCAACCACAAGTAATTCAGCACATGCAAAAGTGACTCAATCAATGATATCAATAATTAAAAAGGTGATGTATTCAATTAGTTGATTACATTTAATTCAATTAATGAAATGCTTTGGTTTTTAAAATCAAACGATTGTCACTTTATTTGCCTCAAAAAGCAGAAAATTCATTTTAAAATATAAAAAAAAATCCAAAATTAAAATTAATTCAAGTAATGAGATGTTTTGGTTTCTAAAATCAAACAAGGGTCAGTTTATTTGCCCGAAAAAGTTAGATACTCCCTTTAAGATATTAAGAAAAAATCAGTAAAATACCAAACTAAATTTTTGTTAACACCCTGAAGGCTACTCATCATTGACCTTAAATATCGCGAAAATCAGGATAATGGTAGAAGATGGGATCTTACAATATTTATTTGTTTTTAGGCAGAAATAGTTTTAATGGGGGAACGCAAACTCGGAAAAAATATTATTTTCTTCATATTCTATAGTTTCTTATCGTCTTAATTTTGCGCAGTTTCTATTGCAGCACGATGTGGTGGCACTCCACTCAAAATATTAATTACAAAAGAAGATTTGTAACCAATTTTTTTTAAAGAAAACTCGAATTACTCGCATTTTCTATTTGCTGCTTACTGTACTGATATCATCATTTTCCGGTCTAAAAGCCGTGTCTACATTCCAACGTTGATGATCTGAAGCTCGCGGTTTGCACTGCTCGGAAGTGGAGTCCCTTCGCGCAATGCGTGAAGTATCACGCAGTCTTACAATGCGCTACTATGTTTTGCGCGCGATGCATGAAGTATCCTACAGTCTTGTAAGGCGCTACTATACGTTTTACGCCGCGCCGGCCGCACTGTCTTTGACGCAGTGACAGAATTCTTCGAACTTGCAGCGTCAGCGGTTACCAACTTTGGATTTTGAAGTTTTACTGTTATTTGCTTGGATTATTGTCGTTTAAAATGATATCGAATTACAAAAAATCCAACTGATTTTCGTGGTATTGTTGATTTATCTTGAAAAAAAAATTACTATTTCTAGTGAATTCTGCAAGTTTCGAATGCAGTTAAGTTCCTTCGCTTGGAAAGCCACAAACCTATCCTTAGATGCGAGATGGGAAGCTTCAAAGTTTATTACATAAATTTGGACGACTCCGAGAAAGTTTGAAGGACTAGCGGAACTAGCTTCAGTTTGATGGAATTCTGATTGAATTTTGAATTCAGTGCTGTCAACACACAGTTGCAAAGTAAGCAGTGATACCAAAGGCAACTTACATAATACAGTTGCTTTCTGCATTTACAGCGCAAAATTTGGTGAGAGAGCTCTCTCGCTGAATAATAGTGTAGAGGAGGCTAGGAATACAGGATCCACCTCTCGCACGAATAATTTGAGAAGGGAGAACTACTCTCGGGATTTGATCTCATCAGTAATGGATGCACTGGTCTAAAAACATATTTTGAAATCATTTCTAATGATCGTAAAACCATCCAACCCGTAACATGTTACAGCATGTTCATCCAATGGGTTAGGTGCGCTGGTCACAGAGTCGTGTTTTGATGCTTGATTCTTCTGGATTGGTTAAAAATAATAAGATCTGTCTAAACCGCAACTTTCTACGTTCAATATTTACCGACATATCGCCCTTTGAAAAGTCTGGTTTTTGACGCCATTCACCGCGATAGTGACACCCTTGGTTTCTTCCACCTTGCTTTCATCCTAGTTTCACAGTGAGTAACTAGTGCTAATGTGTGTCTCCCTGACCAATAAAACCAAGGTGGAAGGAACCAAGGGTGTCACTGTCGCGGTGGATGACGTCAAAAATTCAACTTTTCGAAGGATGATATCTCGGTTAATATTGAACGTAGAAAGTTGCGGTTTGAACAGATGCTTTTGTTTTTAGCTAATCTACGAGAATGAGGCATCAAAACACGATTCTGTGACCACCGCAACTGACACATTTTTTTAAAATTTATTTATTTTTCCAATTAAGTACATACAGAAGCTAAATTTTAGCTTATAGTACGCGTCAAATGTGGTTTGTACCTCTAAAAACTTAATTTCAACACGTGCCAATCAAATTCAAGTAAAATATGTGTTAGTTTTCAATTGCTGAGTATTTAACAGCTATATTCAGAAATTCTTCAGGAACAATCTATTATCTGACATCTCTATTTTTAGCAATCACCCAGAAACTCATTTATGTGGTAGAACGCTTCTCCCTGGCAGAATTTTTAAGATGGTTAAAGAATACATTTGGATGGTCATTTTTAAATGATAGTTTTAGTCAAAGCGGGAGGGCATTTTACCTTGTGATAAAGTTTGGTAAGTATCATAGAAGCATTGTAAAGAATACTATTCATGAATAAATGTCTACAGTTTCTTCTTACTTTTTTTTTCAGGTCAGTGGAATCGTGGGTCGTGCCGACGTATTGGCGTGCGCGTTGTTTTTCCTGTCTCTTCTGGTTTACCATGAGTAAGTATCTCGATTTAATTTACACAGTAATTTAAATACTATACTAAATGTTAATTTCAGCCACTGTAAGATGAAATCTGTACCGTATTCTACTGGGCCCGTAACATTTGTGCACAACTACCGCAAATGTCATTTGTGCATAATGCTTAAGTTTTTAATTTTGTGCTGCAATGGGATTCAAACGGAATATACGGCAAATTTTAAGAGCTAATGAAAGTGCGTATGAGTAAGCGCGTTAAATTTTTCCACAGATAAGTGAGCAAAAATTGCAAAAAGAAAAATATTTTAAATAATTCTAATGATATTTAAATGGGAATAAATATCAGCATAAAAGTAAGGATTATAATATGTATAGAATATTCCCTTAACTGAGATGAATCTTCAGTACTTTGGAGAATGACTTGATGGCCGATCGATCAGTTCATAACCTCTGGATTGCAGGACGTATCCTAAACATTTTTGAACATTGTATCACTGTATAAAACGCCAGGTAGTTTCACACACAATTTGACCATAGTAGAAATTTTTTTTAGCTTTAAATGTACAGCCCGAGTGAATATCACGAATCGGAAGACAAAAAAAATTGCGATATTTGCCCGGTACATACTTTTTGAATTATTTCAATGCGTTTCTCGGACTTTGGTGTACAAATACCCGAAATGCGACAACGTGAAGTGATGCTCAGAAATTCTGGAAGAATATCGTACTTTCCAAAAAATATCAACCGATGCGTCGAATTTTGATTCGTTCTCCGAAGTGCAGTGGATTATTAAAACTGATAGACATAGCGATAGACTAAAAAGACAAATCGAATTTGGGGCAATCCTATCGGTTTATAAGCGAGTTGTTCCAATTAACAAAGTAGGTAAGTAATAGACTAAGTAGCGACAACCTACGAGAGACCTCATACTAAGACCATGATTTTCTCCCTTAGTCTACGACAACCACTCATTTCAACCGCTTCATTTTCCCCTCGTATTCTTTGTCTATCATTTCGTCTATCAATTTCGATAATCAGCCCTTGAAGGATCAGCTTAAGAATGTAAGCTGAAAGTTTGCTGAAGGAAGAAAAATCGAGGAAATTCTCGCAACATGGCAACACTGAACCGCGGAGAAATTCACACAAGGAGCTGCAATTGCTTCCTTGCGCTAAAATACTTTTCACGGGTGGCATCCCGCCTCATCGTTGTACAATCGCTTCCAAAAAAAGCTAATCTTAGTTATTTTAACTCTAAAGGGGTGAATTATCGGTATTATTTGACACCCGTGAAGCACACATCTTAGCGGAAGCGCTAAAGAAAGCGTGAAGCCAGAAGTGCCCTCCTTAAGTGCAGTGTGTTTAATTGTCATTTGAATGGGTTAAACTCCCGAGCTAGGATAACTCTCTGCTGCCGAAATGCTGATGCTAGCGGCCTGTTGCCATGGGAACGCGGGACGCTTATAAAAGCTCAAAACAATAAAAGGTCCTTAAATTTTTTTTGTTAGTCTCTCAGTAGCCCCAGCTTTGCAGTTGGTGGAATGCAATACAACCGCAATAGAGCTTTGATGACTGAGTTCGAAAATGTGTTCCTCTATTACTACGTTTCAAAATCTCCGAGCATTCTCTTTTTTGAGGGATATGTGCGGAAAACATCCTTGAAATTTTCGAGAAATATTTGTATCGAGTTTATCGGAAAGGAACCACCCCACATTTTCGAAAACAATTGAGCTGAGAATGTTTTCCAGTTTCAATTACCGTAAATCTTCTCCTGCCAAAAAATTTCCTTAAAAACAAAAATTTTGCTGTGAAAAGAAGGATTAAAGTTTATTTTTTACATTGAGCCTTATGCAGGAATAAAACTTCGAAACTCCTTTTCTCAGTTATTTCAACTTTATGTGGGTTGGTTCCTTCCTGATGAACTCGGTCCATTTTTGAATGAGTGTATGTAGGAAATTCCCGGAACATTTCAAGGACAATCGATTGGTGATTTCCATTTCTTATTATGAATTGTAAGCGGAGATTCGAAAAATTGCAATCAAAGATACGCAGTTTTTTTTTTTTTTTTTTTTTTTTTTTTTTTTTAAAATTATGAATTAAGATTGCTTGATTGTTCAGCCATCTACGCCCAAGACGTTTTTTTGGTACTGTCATCAAATGATACGTTGGCATTTCGTCTAAAATCTCAAAATGGGGTCGGGAGTTTATTACTCTTTAGAGCGCATTTGTCTCTGTTAATCAACTTGACTGACGTGAATTTGGCGCAAAAGCTGCGTCTTTTTCGGGCAAAATACCTTTTCTTCGGGTTAAATTTTGCGTTACAAGGCGAATTGCACTCCGCATCGTATCGCTCAGATTTTGTGACAGACATATCCAGCTCCAGAGTGGTATACCGGATGATCCTTGAGTCCCGCACTATTCGTATGACGTCAATAAATTTGTGTATTGTTTATTTGCTTTCGGGTTCGATATTTATGAGATATGGAAATTAAATAATTGACTAATGATGAGAGGTATATTAAACGCTAACTGTTACAGAAATTGAGATACACACTTAAAATTTTTTATCTGCTCCCGGGTCATAGAAACGACTTTGGAGTTCAATGTTCGAAACTCACCTTAGAGTTTCAGGAGCCATGTGGCCCATTAAGCTCAATTTTCAGGGGCCCTTCGAATTTTTCTTAGGGGCCAAATTGACTTTTTGCCTACATATCTCGGCGCATTTTGTGAAACGTCAGACGTAAGATGTTTGAGTCACAGAACTAGTAGCTGTAACTTGTAACTTTCGAAAAATCACTGAACAGAAAAATTTTGATTTTTTTAGGGGCCACGTTGGCGCAGAGCCTTCATTTTTTAGGCGCCATGACAGATTTTTAGGCGCATTTGGCGCGTTGGCGCCTGTGATTTGCGAACACTGTTTGAGAACCCCCAAAACTTGAAAGGAACCTATTCGAGCACGGTCAAAAACCCTAGGCCTGGTGCGAGACTTTTTGGAACATTCTGTACCCTCCAGATTTCACTCCTACATTTTCGACAGTGTCATCAGTCGTTAACGATTAGACGTATTCAAATCAAAACGAACCATCTTCATTGTGACGTGAACCCTCAATTGCACGTGCTCTTATGAGCCTCAGGGCCCAGGTCACAACGGACATGGTTCCGTTCGATTCGAATACGTCCAATTTCCCGGAGAGTGCACTCTGAAAAGGCATTCCCAGGATACCGGCTTCCTTCCCGCACTCAACGCGCTCCGCGCCCCGACCGACGAAATGAAAATTTGCGCTTTTGATTGTGCAAGAACTGCATTTTGCGAGGGATTTTTCGGCAGGAAAAGCCGAGGAGCAACTTCGCGGCGCTCGGGCGCGGGAAAGAACCGCCAAATCGGGGGTGGAGACGAGCGTGTGCGCTCCAACTATACCAGCGTTGTCGAATCTCATAAAAAGACCCATTTATGTCGAGTGCATTTTCCAGAGAGGAACAACTCCCAAGGAGCCTCTAATGAATCAGTGAGACAAAAACACACCAACTCGAAAAAATTAAAATAATCAAGACGCACGCAGAAGTGCACAGCAGTTGAAGAAGTTAGCACAAGAAAAAGATTTTTGTTGCCGAAAGAAAAGTACTCACGGACACTTTAAAGGTCCAAGTTGAAACAGATGCGTTGACTTCAATGATCTTTGTAAAAACTGACTCTCTTTGATGAAAATTGAGCGTTTATGAGTTACCGAGTTGGTGTGTTTTTGTTCTCACTGATTCATTTATGGAGCATCCATGACCGTATTTATGTGCATGGGAGGAAGTTAAAGTGGCTGAGAAAGAGGAAAATACAGGAAAAAGAAGAAGGAGAGGATATTTAAGGAAAGGAAGAAAAAGTGGAGGAAAAATATGAAAAATAGTCGGAAAAAGAGGAGGAGATATGAAAGTGGAAGAGGGAGAAAGAGGAATGGGAAGAAGACGAGAATGAAGAATATGATGTAGAGGGGAAAAAGTAAGGAAGAGAAAAAGAGGGGAAAGAAGGACCGAGAAGGAAAAATAGAGACAGAAGGAGACGACGAAGAGAGGACGAAGAAAAGAGAGAAGAAAAGAGAAAATAAAGAGAAGAGGGGAAAATGACAACGAAAAAGGAGAAACTTCGATAAAATTCGCGTATATAAGCGGAGGGAGAGCAAAAACTAGGAGAAGGAGGTAGAAAAGTAGAAAAGGTAATGTAGAAAAAGAATAATTAGAAGAACAAGCACCTGTATCAACAGGAACTTCGAGAGTTCTCACGTTGATCTTAAAGTACGTCTTTAGTGTCGAAAACGTCTCGGATTTTCAGTTTTGCATTTTACCCTTGCTCCCCGTTTTTCTCTCTTGTTATTTCTCCCGTTGATCATAAAATTAGCCTATAACATTGGTTCCCTATACCAAAACGTGGTCCGGTTGACACGGGAACAACGCGAAATTTGACAATGTAGCACTCGTGGGTCGAGTATAATTTCGCTCGTGTCAGCGGGCGAAACTTTTCACGCTTTCGCGTCTCTCCCCGACTTGGTTTCAGTTAACTTGAGTCGATACAGCCCCCCCCTTCTCCATCCCCCTCCTCCCCTGCGGTGCCCCGGTCGGTCCCGAGGCCACGCTGCGGTTCGGGGCACGCAATCACTCACGCATGTCTGAGGAAAAGCAGAAACCATAGATAACAGCGTTGCCGGGCGAAATTTCCCGCGAAGGGNGGGGGGGGGGGGGGTTGTCGGAAACAGGTCGGATCAGTCCTCGCGTCCGAGGGAAATCCGTTGAAAATGAAACTAGTCCTGACTCTGCTAGCTGATTATTGAAACTGATAGACAAAGCTATAGACAAAGACGACAAAAGGGATTTGGAGGGATCCTATTGCAGGTGGAGGCGGGTGGTGGCAATGGACATAGAAGGTAGGTAATGGACTAACTAAAGGCAACCCACGAGAAACCTGACAGTTAGTCCATCATTTTCTTCCTTAGTCTATAAGAACCAATCATGTCAACCAAAAGGATCGCTCTATACTCCCTATGTCTTCTTTGTCTATCGCTTTGTCTATCAGTTTCAATAATCGGCCCGCTTGTGGAGGAAAGCGTGCGAAGATCGAATGGAGGATCCTGTTTTGTTTGGATGGGACTGTTGTACAAGGAAGGCAACGAGATTTCTGGGTAGACTCTAGGAAAAATCAGTGAAGAATTAGGAAATCTGTTTTGAAGAGCGAGAAACTTCCTCTACCTCCAATGGTCTAAAGACCATTTCATTTTTTCAAATTTTGTGGGAATTTTTAGTACCTGTGGCTTATCGACGGTGTAAGTCGGCAATCACATAACTCGGTTTGCGACGTCGCAGACTTCCTGTCATACTTCAGTTTTTAAACGGAAAACTACTCAACGGCAATTTTTTTAAAACTGCCGTGATTTTCCTTCTCTGTGCGAAGAAAATTTTGCAAAAACTTCAAGGAACGATGTCAATTTGTTCTCCTTTCAACAAATAATATAGAGGCGGAGATTTTCAGACACCGCAAACGAGTTATGTGATTGCCGACTGACACCGTCGATTTACGTTCTTTCGTAAGGAGAGCGATGATTTGACCAAAAATTTGGTCGGTCGACCAAGTCCTTCCGGTTGATCAGACTGAAAAAAAATGTCACTCAATGAAACTAAAAGTAACCGTGGATGCGGACTTGTTCAAGAATGTGTCATCTCGTCCGAAATCAAATTCGATAAAATTCGGCAGCAGGGATAGTGGAACTCGCCGGAGGGCGCTAGTGGTAGTCGTCGCCAGGGGCGCGGTGGAGTCACAAAAGTTGGGCGCTCAACTTAATCCGAAAGTTGGCTCGTAAAAAATTCACTTTGGGGCGCGGCCGTGTTATTGGCGAAAGGAAAAGGTGGGAAAAAGACTGCATTAAGCAACTTTTAAGATAATAAAACTTGCCGAGAGCTAGCCCTGCGTCCTGCGCCCTTCGCGCTGTGCCGAGCCATCGGAAAATTCCATCGCCGCTCCGTTTTCTCGCGTCCCGCCAAATTGGTAGCATTCCAAACTTTCCGGATTTCTCCTGCCCGGAGATCTTTCGGAAGCTCAGACTTATTTCCTCTCATTTGAACGCCTTGGCTTATTATTAGCAGCTTTGCGAGCAAACGAAGCTACCTATCTGAATCCGCTGGTAGATAAGCCTTTCAAATGGTACGATTAAACGCACTGAAAAAAGTTACGAGCTATAAAGACATATCGTTCGGTCCGGGCTCAGAGACCGGAAATTCCAGGCGCTGGAGCCGTGACTTCGATTGCTCCGGGTGCCATGCCCGGAAGTTTCGGCCTCTGAACCCGGAACGGGGATGTCTATATAGTCCGCAAGTACGGTTTCCACGGCCGGAGTTTATAGCGAGAGAGCCCATGAACGACAGGCTTTTGTCTCTCAGACCCTTGTAAACGGGAAATTTTGAAAACTCATTTGTGCAATACTGCCGTGCAAGGGTAAAACGCTGTATGAACTCGCAGACGTTACCAAATTTTCTATGTTAAAATGCGATTTTTCAAGAAAATCTATGAATATTTGTCTCTAATTTTACAGAGAATTTTATCCGCAATAGATCTAAATACAGATATTTCAAGAGAAAATATGCACGCCTTTTCTTAAAAATGAACATTTTATCGGAGGAAGTTTGGCAACTTCTGAATGCTCATGGGGCGTTCTTCCTCAGCACAACAGAATAGCGCAGAACTCCACTCATGCATCAGAGAAACACATTAGAAATTAGATGATAAAAAGAAACAACCATCATCCCAATTGGACCGCATTCAGCAGAAAGGAACCAAGCCACATTAGCTATTGCCAAATTTAACTGGGCAATTAAAATTTTTCGCAAGAGAACATGTGTGCGGATTCCTTTGAAAATTGTAAGAAATTTGCTTCATACTATGCAGCAAATTCACTAAAATTTGCACAAAAATCCGCACAACCGTTTTTTTGTAAAAACTTAAACTGCCCCGTTAAATTTGGCTACAGCTAATGTGGCTTAGCTCCTTTTTGCTTGATGCGGTCCAATAATTAATAGAATTCAGAGCCGATCATCGTGTTATTTTTTACGATTAAGTGATAATTTTACCACAACGATCAATAATCGAAATTATCGATTTGTCCGTACTCTCCCTGCATGGGTGCTCAACAATGCTGCCGTGCTAAAGAAGAAGATTTCCTTGAAAATTTGTATTTTAACAGAGAAAATTTGGCTTGGTTCCTTTCTGCTTAACACGGTCCAATTGGGGTGATGGTTGTTTCTTTTTTATCATCTAATTTCCAACGTATTTCTATCTGATACATGAGAGGAGTCTTGCGCTATTCCGTTCGATCCTGGATTTTTTGTTTCCATGCTAGTCCGTGGAATTATCCCGAGAACTGCAACGACGTATCCGCGGTCCCGCAGTTATGAAGTTCTATTGGCAGGAATTAATTTCACTCGGAACGGTCGGGAGCCGCGGTGGCGCTGCGGCCGGAAGTTGACGAAGTTAATGATATACGCCATCCCACCTCACAGCACAAAACCACGCATCCAAACGCACATCCCGGCGGAGCTTACGCGGTTTGGTCCGCGCGGGGCGATATTTTATTGTGTCCCGATCCGCTTTCTTGGGCGGCCCCGCGTCGCTTATTTCTCCCGCACGATAACTTTGCCAATTAAAAATACCTAATGGCGTAAAAAATTCAGCCATTGTCTGTCTGGCTCGCTCCAATGTAGCGACCCCGAGCCATTAATTCGCGAGCTCGGGCCCCGGCTCTGCTCCTCCGTGAAAAGAAATCGGGAAATTGTATTCACCCAACTTCATCCATTATCCCGGATGAAGTCCCGACCTCGCGGTCGCACCTAATTATGCCGCCAGCGTTGTCGCGTGGCTTTTCAGAGTTTTTATCGCTCGATAATGGACCGATCGACTGAGTCTGAATCAGTGTTCGAAACTCACCTTTGAGTCACTTTGGAAAAAAAACACACATTGGATCTAGAGTCCAGACTCTTAAAAACATCGACAAGAAAAAATACTCTTGATTCAATCAGATTTAAGCTTTTTAGAACCAAGCCTCTTAATTTAAGCAGATTTCCTTTTGATTTAAGCTTAAATCTGATTAAACCAAGTGTCCTTTTTCTTTGTCAATGTTTTCAAGAGTCTGGATTCTAGATCCAATAGTTATTTGTCTCCAGTGCATAGAGAAAAAAAAGGAGGTGTTTGTCTCTTGAGGTTTGTTTACCCTGTGACGTAGGTCGGTACAACCTGGCCAGCGAAATCCGGAATTTGAAGTATGAAAAACGGACTATAATTTCCCATTTTTTTGCTTAAATCAACTCATGATATAATTTCAAGCACTTTTTATACAATGACTTTTTTCCATAAATTACACAATTTCCAAGAAAATTGATGATAAAAGTCCGACTTACGTCGTCGAAAAAATTCCAAGATGCCCGAAATGCAAACACCTCCTTTTTTCTGTACGCCTTTTTGTTTAAGGAGCCATGTGGTCTAAGCTCGATTTTTAGGGGCCATTAAAGATTGTTAAGGGGCCAAATTGAATAAAGTGATAAATGTGAAGTTAAGTGAAAAGTTAGAATCATACAGTGAAAAGTTAGAATCTGGCGCCGTGCGTCGAAATTTCGAAAAATCACCAAACAGAAAAATTAGGATTTTTCTGGGAGGGGGAGGGGGCAAAATTTAGGGGCCACGTTGCCGCAGAATCTTCATTTTTTAGGCCCCAAGAATTTAGAAATTCAGAAAATTGGTCAATTTCTTAGGCGTGTTGGCGCCTGTGAGTTTCGGACACTGGTCTGAAATTAAACGATGAGTGTCCGGTAATGCCACGTTTCAGCCGTGAAAAAAACCTGCCGTATAATTCAGAGTCTACCGTGCGTAAACTTTTGAAGAGAAAACATAAAATTTGATACTTTTTAAATTCATACCGTGTTCAGTGGTGTCTGACAAGGTCAATTTGTAAAGTAATACCGTATATTTTACAATGATAGGTTTAATCTTGTGGTTGTAAGTGAAAGCAAAACCACGCAAGTGTTAAGTACAATCACCTGTACCTGTTTTTTACGTTTACAAATCCGTAACGTTTCTGTTATAATTCTGTTTCAGCCGGATCTGTGCGGGAGCGAGTGATAATAAAAGAGTTCTCTGGAGCTCGATTTTAGCGTGCATGGCTATGCTGGCCAAAGAGACCGGTCTCACAGTTCTGTTCGTCAACCTTTTCTTGGACCTTTACCGCTCTTGGCACCCGCTCAAAAGGTAAATCGACGCACACATTTACTTTATTTTCATACTCAGACCTCAAGTGCTGGACTCGCTCTCACTGGAAACACTTCTAAGTCAGTTGCATGTGTCACTGACTAATGGGCTTTCATCTTTGATTCTAAGTATTTAGCAAAAAATAGAAGGCAGGAAAATGACTATATGGTCAAGATATCACCATTTACCCTCTAACCAAGAGGGTGGGATCTTCATCCACAAAAATGAGTAAAATTAGTCAATTTAGATTAAGTTTAATTCATCATTTTATTTCACCAGTTTAGTCTCCCCATTGGCACAAATAAATCAAACCGTTATCAACTTATTCTTCAAGCATCGTGAATTTTTCATTGGAACATTAAACTTAACACGCAAATTACTGAATTTACTCTAACAGAAATTTGTCCTCAGTGAGCTGTCATAAGCAGAGGTTAACTCAAGCTTAAGCTTTGATCCTCTATTAAAGTCTCAATTGAAAGAACTTTTCTGCCTCAGACATGAGTTTTGAAGAACAAGAGAACTCGAAACAATCAAATTCCTTCCAAACGTTTAAAATTTAGGACTGAATGGTCGTATTAAAAATCCCTGCTCATATAACAACCACCTCTGCAATGATTCAAAAACGTGTTTGTAATTCATGTAAGACAAACATTGTTTTGTTATGCTGCGAATTTGTGCGAGATGAGCATGCGGTAAAGGAACAAGTTCCTGACATAATGTTATGCTTTTTCCCTAGGAAAAAAATATACTTTCGGAGATTTTGGAACTTAGGATTGAGATGCTTGGAATTGGAGATCAGACATTTTATTGTTACCGCACGAATGTTTATTCAAGCAGTCTCAAGATTATCAATACGCACCGATGTAAAAGCGGTATGAAAGCGGAGCCCAACGCAGAATAACCCGCCGAAACTCCCCTCTGAATTTGAATACGTAATAAAACCCCGCAGACCGTTTAAAAAGATCTTTAAATTTGAAGCGCCCCTAAAGAGGTTGTACGGTGCGCTTTTATGAACCGTTTAATGCGACCGAAGGAGTGATGATCATCTGGTGATTTGATATGAAAAAAGAAGAAGAAAAATTATCTCGGGGGATTTTATTACCGACCGTCTTGGCTCGGGAGACGCGGCGCGTCTTCGTCTTTGCCAAATTTTGTCGTAATAAGTTGAAACGTTTGACTGGTTTGAGCTGCCTTAAGAGTTTATCATAGACGATTGAAGTGAGTTTTGTTCAGAAATTTCAGTGTCCTTCAACATGGTCGCGGATCATTGTTAGAATTTTGAATCTTTTTACCAGCCCCTTACGATTTTTTATGTGATTTTTAATCATCTTTATTAATGAGGAAGAATAACACACCGATAAAAAGAGGTGCTGTAGTAACATCCTGGATGTAAAAAAATGTGCGACAACTCTTGGATGTTGTCATTACCACTCTGGCTATTTAAGGAATATCCTAGGATGTTACTTTTACATCCTATCATGCTACTTTACCTGCCAGAGTGTATTAGCAACATCCAAGAGTTGTCGCACATTTTTTTTAGCAACCGTAACATCCGGAATGTTACTACAGCATCTTTTTTTCTCGGTGCAACACATCAAAGGCGAGACGAACAGGTTCAAAGATTCATAATTTTAAATTTTGTTGTTTTGTAGTACATCGCCGCACAATGGATCGGTTCAATTGGGAAGATCGGGCAAAAGTTGGAAACTTCATGCTTCAACTTCAACTTCAAAGCTCATAACTCCGTTCATACACATTTTTGAGGTTTTAAAAGTGGCTTCACTGGTTTACTCGTAAAATTTTACTCTGGATATACCCCAGAAAATTTAAAATGTGACAAATCGAACATCAAAATTTGCAGACTTAGTCAAAAAGTTCGTGTCCGACCTCTGTGATTGACTCGATCCACTCTGCGCCGGTTGATGTGAATAATTTCCTGCCCAAGCAGGACCAGCTACGGTTTGTTTCTCTCGAGTGTGGTTGATCGAATAATCGCTTAATAACAAAAACACCTGAGACGGATCAATGTAGTACGATTATGATCAGTTCTTCTTCAGTATGATTTGTGTTCCTTATTCATATCAGTGTTATGTGCACATATTGATATCTGGCCTAGGACTTGTTTTCCAAATTATGCGTCCTGTAATCGTTTCCTGCCTAAAATTTTGAACGGATATATTATTACATGAATTGCTCTAATTCATACCTTATTCAGAGGTCAATTGTAGTATTTCAAAAATTCTGTTTTCTTGCTTTACTTGGAAGAAATACCGATTTCAGTTTGATGCATTCATGGAAATCACGAGTATTACCTAAAATTTTCGTAGAATTACTAAAACCATATATAATTTTATACCTTACCAACTTGAACCATTTTTCAATGAATTTTTAATTGTATTTCTTTTATTTCTCGAATTTGCGTTGCCAAAAAGTTCTTATGCCTCCAGTTCATCATATTTTTTGGCATTAAATGTATTGTTTTTCTTTTTCATTCTTTCTTTTCTTTTTTCTTTTTTTTTAAAAAAATCATTGGTCTCCTGAGAAGTGGATCCAGGAAATTTGAAGTGGATTGAGGCTGGCTTCTGCTTCTTTGTTCCCAAACATGACATTTTCATGCTCGTTTTTTTGTGCATTTATCTTTCCCCGTCTACGAGATTTTCGCGCAAATTGTAAGAGCCAACTCTCTAAAAAAGAATCACGTGATTCCAAAGATAAATCCGTCGTAAATATGTGTTTTTTCCCGTAGACAGCAGAATAAAAGCACAAAGGTAAGCCAAAGAGCTCTTGAAGTCCCAGCGGTCTTAAGAACGGATTCTACATCTTCCGAACGGTAGTGAAACCCGCAAGTCTTCTTAATTTTATGAGCAACGGAATTTTTATGATCCTAGATATGTTCCTCCGTTGCCAGCTTCTAGCGATGGTAAAAGCACGAATATCATGCACACGTCATCCTGATTGTATTATCAAACAAAATATGGATTCAAACTCTTTTGATGTTGTGTTTTTTTTTAAAATTCTTATCACTGGAACGTTCAGTTGGCCTCTTTGTTCCTGATCCGCGACTTTCAGAACTTTTTATGAGCTTCAAAGTTTTTATATAAGGTTTTGTAGCCAACAAATTGAGTAGTATTTTGATAAAATTTTACATTGATGGTCGAAAATCATTTGCACTCGCAGGAGCTCCAAACTTAAAGTTTTTTATAGAAATAATAAAAAGTTTAGAAGTGGATTTAAGAGTGTTTTTGGCTTTTGAATTTAATCTAGAAGTCAATCTCATCACGATCTAAGGAACATTTGGATAATAGCCTATTTGTTATAATCTATCGAATCATCTTAACATGTTTATGACGCTCTTAAAAGGTGAAATTCACGTCACCAATAGGAAAGGCAAATGACTTATTTGTCTGCCACCGCCGACGATCGAATAGTGAGAAAACTTTAATGAGAATATATTATTGATATATGTAAAATGAACCCCATAGGTTAACGCTACTTTTTGCTTAGTAATAATTGATAAGGAACTTATCGGAGAAAAAAAATTTGCTAAATAATGAAGAGTTCAAGCGAGCTCAGACTCGGAAGACTAGAAGCACGATGCAACGGCGTTTAGATGCGACTATTTCTGCTTGAGGGATGTCCAGATAGCATACAGGAATCATTGAAGGCGCTTGAACTGAAGGCAAGCGCTTAACTCAAGATAATACATTCTAGAGACCCTGCACCAACAATCTAAGTAATGTCATTGGGTGAGGCATTACATAGTTAAATTCGGAGTCAACGATGCTTGCAACCTCTCGTCTCAGTATGAGTGATTAACAACTTGTTGAGAGAAAAATTCAATACAATTCGCCTAATGATCGCTGATGAATGTCGAGATGAGCACTTCGACAGGAAATTTTTCGCAAATTAGGTCAGGATTGCTGAACCGATCGCTCTTCTATTCGGTCATGGGGGGTATGGATTTGATCGACATGAATCGATCGACGCCGTTAACCGATCGAGAAATGATTTAAAAACCGATGTCGATTGAAAAATAAAAATATGAACCGATCGACGTGAACCGATTGACGCAATTCGATCGACAACCGTATTCGGGTGACAACTCGTGATTTGATCTACAAGTCTATGAATCTATCAACAACCCGTGATACGAATGAAATTTCCTTGAATGGATTGGGAAACTCTGTGAGTTGATCAGCAAACCCCGTGAGTCCATCGACAAACTAGTGAATGGGTCGACAAAACCGTGAATCGATCCCTCAAAGCCGTGATTCGATTAAATTTCGTTCATCGAATCGGTGTTAATCGAATCACATCGGTCAGTTAACGTTGATCGGATCCGTGTCAATGGAATCACATTGGTCCTTTATGTTGATCAGATCGGTGTCAATCGAATCACATCGGTCGGTTCACGTTGATCGAATCGGTGTTAATCGAATCAAATTGGTCGGTTAACGTTGATCGGATCGGTGTCAATCGAATCACATTGGTCGGTTCACGTTGATCAAATCGGTGTCAATCGAATCACATCGGTCGGTTCACGTTGATCGATTCACAGTTTTTTCTGTGTTTCCATCGATTTATGTTTAAATCTTACGCTTTAGCGAAAATAGTACGTGCGGGATCCCTGAAATTTCACCTCTAATAGAAATCCAGCCGATAAAACACGCGTGTAACCGATCTTCCATGTGACGTCATCCATGAAATAGGGGGATTTTAGTTGCCAGCCGGCATCCAGCGGTGATCGCACCCCGAGGTTCGCTTCCTCGACCCGTCTCGAATAAAACTCGGCGAGACGCGGAGCAGTCAGTATAGGTGCAAATTTGTATCGCCCTCCGTTAACTTTGTAAAATGCAGATAGCGAGTTTTATAGCTCCGAGACTTGAGGTTCCTGAAAATTTCGCACTCTATCAAAAGCTCCCGCACATAAATATTCAATGATTCCTCGCAATATCCTCCCTGACGTCGCCAGATTTACCAGGAATCCTGCTTCTCTCCGCCGCGTTGAGGGAAACATCCGTTTGAACTTTCCAATGTTGCCAAAGTTTCCTCGATTAAAGAATTGCTCTTGAGGAAAGCTCTGATCTTTTAGGCTGATTTAACCGAAATTGGACTAGATATTTCGATTGAGAAATACATTCTGGCTCATTCGTAAGAATTCATATGTGCAAAGGGAACATAATCATACACAAGCACGTATGAAACCAAGCCAAACGTTTGTAATTCTCAATGGACCACTAGACAAGGCACGAATTCAAGCATTCTTATACATGTGTCTTGACCAGAATTGCACGTAGAACACGATTCTTGCAACGAAAATTACTGAAACCAACTCCTAACGAAGATATTAACCTGTTTATTTCACATTGGTTACGAGGGATTTGAACCGCCCGCTCACAAAAAACTCAAAGCTCTACGTAAGTCAAATCGCGCACTACAACGATTTCAACAGGCTTCTCAATCGAGTTATGTTCATTTAGCACCATGTGTTGTTTAAACTAAAAGCAATTTGCTACAGCTGAGCCAAAGCGTCAAGATCGAGGTTGCCAGATTTTTATATCGCAGAGACTTTCATGATAATGTTCAGCGCGCGATGTGAATCACGTAAAGCATTGAGTTTTAATGAGCGGGTGGTTTGAATTCAAGTATCAGGAATCATTCAATATCTTTATAAGGAGTTGATTTCGGTAATTTTTGTTGCGTGCATCGTGTTCTACGGGAAATTTCGGTTAACAAATACATCAGAATGCTGAAATTCGTACCCTGTCTAGTGGTCCATTGCACAATGTAATCCATAAAATCAGATCCACGGTGACGTCATGATTCTGCATTACGCAGAGTTTTCTCACTTGCGAAAGGGAAAAATCTCATGTAGAGCATGTTTTTTGTCTTGGAGTTGTGCTAATTGGCGCAACTTTATACATATAATTAATTTCAGTCTGAGAGATCTCTATGAGGTCAGCGGGCCGATCATTGAAATTTAATTTTTGTCGGGCGGACATAGCTTAAATGGCGAAGCGTGATTGGTCGGCTGTGTCTTATCGCTGTTTTGTCTCGCCTTTGTCAGGTGGAATTTACAACAAGGTAAAGGCACCTCTTGAGTTTCCGACAATGTGTCGTCAATTCCATCTGTCGAAGGCACGACAAAGTAGCCATAAATGACCAATTACGCTTCGCCATTTGGACTATGCATTTTGCAATTTGGACCTAAAAATTCTGGCTCATCTGAAAAAACACCTATGTGCATAGGGAAACTAATGGCACATTCGTTGTCTTTAAACTGGACCGGAATCTATAATTCCAAATTGCAAAATGTAGTCCATTTATTCTATGTCCGACGGATAAACACAAATTTTGAATAATCGGCCCGTAGCTTGGCTCTGATCGTTTGGTCATCAACTTGTGTCGATACAAAGCCCCCTACCAACGATTCATATCGCAAAGCTCAAAACCACGTAACTACATCGCTTTCGAATGCGCATGTGCAATTTTCAACATCATGGAGAGCAAAGTTGATATTTTTGAGGGGCGATCTGGCAACGCGTGGTTAGGTACCGTTATTTTGCGGTTCCGTAGCAGGTGTTCGGGGGAGCCCACTAGCTCTGCTGCGACCCCACCTCATAAAAGTTGGATTATAATTCACGGGGCTTTGCGTTTTTCCAAATCCTGATCGGGTTTTCTCCTCTTTTTTCCAGGGCCTTGCTCGAGCGGAAGTGGAACGAAGAAGCGCTGCATTTTTCGCAGCGGACGGCCAAATTACTAATGGCGGTGAGTAGCTTTCATGGGATTTTTACTTTCTCGTCCCTCTTATGGGTAGGATAAATATTGTTTTATGTATTTTAAGTTGATTTTCTGCCTACCTCATTCGACGGATCATCGCTTATGGATAATTCAACGGTGAACAGCTCTACGTGAGTGGCAGACAAATCATCGAATCAGACATTTCATCCGATGGCCAGGCAGATAGTCTAATTTTAAAAGTTTGCGAGAGGTATAGATATTATATTATATTAACGAGCAATACCGGACCAATACTGCCGTGCCGAGGAAAAACGCCGTATGAGCCTGCAGATGTTGCCATGTCTCCTTCAAAAACAAATAAATATGCTTTGAAAATGGTGAATGCTTTCGCTCAAAAATTTCAGACGATTTTGCTCGCAATTTAATCTAAAATATCTGAAAATTTTAAGGAAAGTTATTCATATCTTTCCTCAAAATTTAACATTTTATTGGTAAACATTTGGTAACTCTAATGTTCATACGGTGTTCTTCCCTGTACGGCAGAATAGATGTTCGACTTGCAAAAGACTAAATGACGGCGACCCAGGAAGGACTCCAGACTGATTCCATCATTTTCCCTCGTAGTCTATCAGAACAAGCCGTTTTAACCAAAGACATTGGTTTTAACTAACAGAACCGCTCCATTTTCCCGTTCTCTTCTTTACTGCAGCTTTGTCCATCCATTTCAAAAATATGCCCGCAGAAACAAAAGGAATCCTTCATTAAACGAGCAATGCCAGACCAAACGATGTCCAACTGGCTCCGATCTACTAGGTGAGCGTGCAGGCGCCGAGAAACAACTATTTCAACTTCCGCGTAATGTGGTGAAGTATCACAGTATTTGAAGGCATTTTTAATCGTGCAACTCTGCAATCGCAGACTGGCTTTGATCTGCGCAGCATTCGTGAGGGTAAGGGCGAATTACGAAAAACTCCCGTGAACTGAGCCACCGCGAAACAAAAAATTTGTACAAATTTAGTCCGCAAATTTGCACAATACTGTACAATTCGTACAATACTGTTCATTTTAGAAGACGAGGATACTCTCACGCTCGGTTCACTAAGTAGTTTCCTCTTAAAGTTCCTCTATAAGTGAAATTCCCAAAATTCCAGACACCTCGACTAAATTCTCCATCCCGTTTACGAATTGCGAAAAATTCCCGCGATCCGAGCTTCTGCGAAACGCAGTCGATCCCCCCCACCCCCCACCCCACTCGGACGCACGTCTGCACTGAAACCGGGAGCCGTAATGAAAAAGGGCATTTGAAGCGCAAGCTCTAATTTGTAATGAAAACGCTGACAAAGATATTTTTAAAAATGAATAAGCAACTGTCACCGAAGCTCTGCTACGGCCCTCCCTCCCCATATCACCCTCCCCCGCCTTCACCCCCGATCTCCTCCTCCCTCCTCCTCACGCCGCTCTCTCACCGGTCCTCGCTGTTTTTGTCTCTTCCGTTCTGAACTCGAGGCGACAATGTCACACTGTTTGTAATTTCCCTTTGATACACCTACAGCTCCAGCTGAAATAAATAAAATAAAAAATATGCTGAAATTTATTTGCATGAAGTTTAACCTCTGCGTCGCTCCGCGCAGATGACGGATGGAGCTCGTGGAGGGACTTGTAGCTGCTCTTTTGGATTATTTCTCTCGACTGAATTTGAATACGCAGTTTTGTACACGGAAGTAGAGGTTAAGCTCAAGTAACGCTTTCGAAGAATTGAGCCACTCTTTATTTAAACTTAATGGTAGTATAGGCATCTATCTTTTAAAGAAGCAGAAGAATGATAATATTGTAGCCAAGGTATCTTAAGTTTTGTATATTAAAATTTCACGATTTCACAATTTTAAGTACTGCGTGGCATGAAGTTGTAATGAACAAAAAGGAAGGTATCTCGACTACACCATCATCATTCTTCTGACTCATAGTTGAGTTTTGCATTGCAGCAAACTTGCAAAATGTAAGTTAATACGGTGAAATATGCTCAACATACTCTAGATTTCTGTTTAGCATTTTTATTTAAGTTAAACAAGCAAATAACTTTGTACAACATTTTTGAAAAATCAAGACTCTTTCATTCTCGATTTGCATGAGATTTAATACACTTTTTAAAAAAAATGGTAATGTGATACACTTCATCAGATTTAGATGCATGCAGAACCTGAAAAATTGCGAATCAGATAAGGAGAAAAAGAGCCACTGTGCTCTTCCTCCCCAAAAATCCCATCCAAAAACATTTTCAACATATGTTTAAAATATTGGAATATAACGTTAAAATATTTTAGAGGTATTTTTTCTGCTTACCGGGCTCAACTGTTATATAGCGCAGCAATTTGAAACGAGAGGCCAAAGTCAAAAGTTACTCGGGGGTTTGGGTGTGAGGGTGGGGGGTGGGAGGTTGTTTCATCCACGAATCTTCTTAGGCGAAACGACTGTAGAGTAACTGACTCACCGTGGTCGCCGGTCGACCTGTTTCCTCTCACTCATACATACGCACCCTAAACGTAACGGCGTATCTCTATTTGCAGATGGGCCGCGAAAAACATAGAGTTATATGGAGAACAGGGTTCACGTGGAAGTTGAGATACGTCCTTACGTCTGAGGAGCAACGACATACGCACCTGCATCGTGCACAAGGAGAAAACACCGAGAATCATGCGTCTTTCTCTATTGCCACCCCTTTCCTCATTTCTCCCAACCCCCTTCCCCTCTTCCGGCTGCACAGTGCATCAAGTCAAAAGGAGAGGTCGGACAAAATTTGGAAACTTTACACGCTTACAACTCCGTTTATACAAAACGTGGAGGTTCTGTAATAGAGAATTTGCAGGTGTCTTAAATTTGATGAATTTCGTGTTTAAGTGGATACTACTGATTGAACTGAATACAAGGACACTCTTGGTTCATGAATTGAACAAATATTGGAGAAGATTTGACAAAATGATCTAATCTGCTAAAATATGTGTGTTCAAAGGGGAATACTGCCTAATGACGTCAATAGGCGGTGCATTTCCTCGCTTTTAAATCTATGTTTGTACTATTTCCCATATCAGAAAATAAATATAAAATTATACTGTGAAGTCAGCTCTTTAAGCACTTTCAGATGAAGCATTAAAAAATTTGCATGGAAATCGTCCATTCGTTCCATTGCTTTCCACGTGAAATTTTCTCCTAGTATCACCTCTTAAAATTTAAAATGTGACAAAATAAACATCAAAATTTACAGTTTTTGTCAAAAATTTAATGTCCGACCTTTTCGATTGACTCGATCCACTGTGCGCTGTCTTCTCTATCCTTCTCGCCTCTCTCTTCTTCTTGGAAAGGAGGTGGAAAATGCGGGGTAGCCCGTCCTTCTCCTTCTCTTCTTTCCTTCGCGCTCTAAGTAGTGATGACAGGGATGAAGCGAGGAGCTGCGGTGCATACTGAGCTTCATCACCACCGTAGAGGGATGAAGAGGGATGGAGGGATGCGGAGGGAGTTGCATGACGGAGAACAAATGAGAATAAATTGTCGTAATTGGCATACGTCTGAGAGCGTTGCTCACTCGGTTGCAACATCGAGAGCTGCCCTCGCTGAAAAGGAAGTGCGGTCGTTTGAACCGAGCTCTCGAACTGAACGGACCACTTTACAAGGTACGAATTTCAGCATTCTGATACATGTTTCGTAATCCAAATTTCACTTAAAACACGATGCGCTCAACGAAAATTACCGAAATCAACTCCTTCCGAAGATATTTCATGATTCTTGACGCGTGAATTGAAACCACCCGCTCATGAAAACTCAATTTTCTACGTGATTCACATCGCGCGCTAAACGTTATCATGACAGTCTCTGCGCTATAAAAATCTGGCAACCTCAATTTTGTTTTTTGGCTCAGCTAAGGAGAGTTGTTTATAGTTTGAACAACACATGGTGGGAAATGAACATTGCTCGATTGAGAGGCTTGCTGAAGCCGTTGTAGTGCACAATTTGACTCACGTAGAGCTTTGAGTTTCTGATGAGCGGGCGGTTCAAATTCCACGTAACCAATGTGAAATAAAAACGTTAATATCTTCGTTAGGTAGGAGTTGGTTTCAGTAATTGTCGTTGTGTGAATCGTGTTTTACGTGAATTTCTAATTAAAAGACATGTATCAGAATGCTTGAATTCGTGCCTTGTCTAGTGGTCCATTGGATAGGTGAAACCGGTTCATACTTTTCGAAAGAGTTCAACTCTTTGTACAGCGAAAAAAATGGCGTGCTTGTTTAACAATTAAATTTTTAAAATATATGTCCGTCATGTTTCAAATGTACATTTTACAATAGTGAAAAACCAATTTAACTAATTTTAATTTGGTTACATTATCATGTTTTTATTGTAAAATACACATTGAACCATATGTCGTGTCGGACACTTTTTTAACTATAAAATTGTTAAATCAGCAATATCATTTTTTCCGTGTAATAAATAAATGTCATGACTTTTATTAGTTTTTACATAAGTAACGGAGCCTTTGAAGGACAACTATAAATAAGACAAATGGAACCAACATGACATGGAGAGCACGGGATGGGTTGTGCACAGGGACGGACTGGCCGGGGTGGCGATGGGGCGATCGCCCCACTTTCATCGGCCAAAAGGGGCCCCGGAGGGGCCCCTTTTGGCCGATTTGAAGGGCCGTATTTCGCCGTTTCGAAGAAGCGCCCGAGAGCTTTTTCGGTTCGTCCTCGAGAAAGGGCCCCGAGACTCCTGAGAGGACAGGACACTTTATTGCCGATTCGGAGAGCGCCCTGAAGGAGCTTTTTTATGCCGTATCTAAGGGCGTTGCATTTTGAGAGCCCTTTTTTCTGATTCGAATAAGTCCAAAGGGGTCCTTTTTTGTCATTTCGGAAGAGCCCTGAAGGACTCATTTATTGCCGATTCGAAGAAGACTCGATGGAGCCTTTTTTTGCCGCTTCTAAGGACCTTAAAAGAGCCCCTTTATCTGATTCGAAGGAGTCCTTTTTTGCCGTTTC